AACAATCTCTAAGAAGCTTTCAGCTAAGTTTTTTTTTTTTTTTTTTTTTTTAAAAAGCCCCATAAAATAAAAGATCTAAAAATTGTGACTCGGCTAAATACAGTAAATAGTACAAGAGGAAATGTCGATTAAAAACAGAAGCACATCACCGGATCAGGTTGGTCTGTTCCACAACATTCAGGGGCGCTTTTTTGATTTTTATGGACACCCTCGAGCTCAGTTCACCCTCGAACGGAAACCCTTCAATTTTCAGACGCCTTGGTTTCATTTTTGAAATGTTTTCGGGTGTTCACGCAATGTTTGAATTGGCGCCCCGCGATCAAACTGCATGAAGCGGTGGCTGGCGGGTGGCATCAAAGCACCCCCCCCCCCACACCCTAACGTCGGGCCAACACGCCGGTCGTAATTCCGTGTTATGTCAGCCAATACTCGGGTGGCACCAACGAATGTGCCCCAAGCCTCGGCCATCGCGATTTTTGCTACAGCTCAATGTTGATCACAGCAGAATGTCTAACTGTTGTCCGTGAGAATGGTCCTAGGGAACCTGACTCGAAATCATATGAAGTACACCGTTTCCGCCAAGCATCGCCAGAATTCGATATCACAGCTCACGGCATGTTTTCACAAACCCCTTGCTACCAGATTTGACAAGCGTAGATATTTTGACCCACTCTACGATTCCAGTCAAAGATAACAAAAAGTGTTTTAAATAGCTTAAATTTACATTATAACTTTACAATACAATAACTTCTATACAATATATATATATATATATATATATATATATATATATATATATATATATATATATATATATAATATATATATATATATATATATATATATATNATATATATATATATATATATATACATAGGCGTCAGAGGGTGCCCAATGATGAATAAGGAAGATAATTTAGCACTTCCATTGTAAGTGTCTTCCCTTACAGCTGATATTTAAAATGATATTTTTACGTGTTTCTCTTTTCATGGATCTGAGCCAACTTTCGTTTTCTTTGAAATAACACAAGATATACAAATGGAATACGAGAGAGAATTGTTTCCCTTGAGATTGTCGATGTTGAAAATCATCCTGAATTGGTTGTCATAATTTCTAGATTCCATTTCACGTTATGTTAAGAGAAAATGTAACTCGCCAAGTTCTGGACACCACAATCAGCGATATTGAAAAGAAAGGGAAAAACACAAGAACTGAGGACGTCAATTGGCCAACTCGGGTGGCCGAGTTCTCTTGGAGTGGATTCTCCATAGGCTGGGTGTTGATCTGCGTGTCACTTCCGCCGGGTGGATTGACGTAAACGAAGTCCGTTCGAGTGGTGTCCGGTAGGTTTGTCAGCAGCGGGCCGCCCTTGTCGTCCTCGTCGGGTGGCGGGGGTGGCGTGGTTGTCGTTTGCGGCGGGTACGGGATGAAGATGAACGGCTTGCAGAGTGAGTTGTCTGTCAGGACGCTGAACTGGGCGAGGATAAGGTCGGAGCTTGTGTCCGGCTCCACCTCGTACAGGAAGGCGTCCGATGCCTTCAAAACCTGGATTGATAATTCAACGAGAGAATTTTAATGTATCGTAACACACAATTTATTTTTTGCTTAACCGCGGTTGTTTTAGAAAACATTAATAACATGGGCGACATGATGACTCTACTCTGACATCCTCAGTACCATCACCTGTCGATTATCTTTTCAAAAAGTATGAGTTCATCCACTGCAGCGGTTCTCAATCTATGGGTCGCGACCCCTTTGGGGGTCAAACGATCCTTACGGAAGGGTCGCCTAAGACCATCGGAAAAAAAACATATTTATGAAGTAGCAAAGAAAATTATTTTATGGTTCGGGGTTACACAACATGAGGACCTGTGCATTTCGCAAAGACCTGCTGGGGTGTTGTTGTCTACCATCTTTGCCAGCTAGCTATTATCTCTTAGATGTATATTGACTTGTAAGGAATGAAAGACTTAAAATGGGTATTGGCTTATTTAGTTTTGGAATGCTGCGTTTTGTATTTCAATATGGTAAAATTTAGATTTTTTTCAAATCTCTATATAATATGGTTGACTTTGTACCGCGCTTCGAGCCTTTGGGGATGAAACTTGATTTTCAAATAAGCTGTATTATTATTATTACTGTATCAAATAAATGTACTTTTTTAACATTGACTTCATCATTATCAAATATACAGCCTTATGATTTAATTTGATACCATCATTATCAAATATACAAACATATGATTTACCTTGATGCCGACTGTATCAAATATACAAACATATGATTTACCTTCATTCCGCCCGTATCAAATAAACAAACATATGATTTACCTTGATGTCATCTGTATCAAAGATCCAGTAGACGTATTGCTCCTTTTCGTCCTTGTTGGTCCGGGCCACCACAGAGTGGACGAGACCATTGGAGAAGGTGGCCAGGCAGCTGTATTGGAGTGCTCTGGCCACATTGTCTGTGGAACAGTTCACTGGGCTGGATAGGGGTGGAAATCATGGATAGTGTACCCAGGAGCGTAATGCATTCGCCAATAGTTGTTTATATTTCCATATAACTATATGATGGGATAGTTCTACTAATTTTAGTATTTAAAAAAAAAAAATAAAAAAAAATCTTAATGACCGTCAGGCCGCAAGGCAAAACATCCACGTTAAATTTTGTTAAATGAATTTTGTGGATAGTCTTCTCCTTCCTATTAGAGGCATCTTAAAGTATGACTATATAAGAACTTATTTACCGGTACTAGTTTCTGTGTATGTGTATTTGCTCGGCACAATGTCTTGCTCCACGTTAAAGCCACCTACCTACAATGTCGTGCTACACGTCAAAGCCACCTACCCACCATGTCGTGCTACACGTCAAAGCCACCTACCCACAATGTCGTGCTAAACTTCAAAGCCACCTACTCACTATGTCGTGCTACACGTCAAAGTCACCTACCCACAATGTCGTGCTACACGTCAAAGCCACCTACCCACCATGTCGTGCTAAACGTCAAAGCCACCTACCCACTATGTCGTGCTACACGTCAAAGCCACCTACCCACAATGCCGTGCTAAACTTCAAAGCCACCTACCCACCATGTCGTGCTACACGTCAAAGCCACCTACACACAATGTCGTGCTACACGTCAAAGCCACCTACCCACAATGCCGTGCTAAACTTCAAAGCCACCTACTCACTATGTCGTGCTACACGTCAAAGGCACCTACCCAACAAAGAACTGATTAGGGTGTGTAAGTGACTCGTAATGCAGACATCCGCTGCAAGGATTCACATACTCTTTAAAGGCGATGCCGTTGTGGAACCGTTCAGGAAGCCCACAAGGAACCTGCGAATATGAGACAATGAAATACATTGAAGAAAAAAATGTAAAGATCAACTATAACGAATGGTATAGCGGGGAATTTATGAGGGAAGATAACATATAAACCTACAACCAAAAGACGTGTTTTTAGGGCCAGGAGGTGCGGAAAGACCCATATTTTCAGGTTTATTTTCATTAAGATTTTTCACCGTGGGTTGCGGAAAATCTATCTCCCCTGGAAACGTGTTGAAATCAAGAGCAGCGCTGCTGAAAGGGGATGAACCCCTGGTTCGAGGAGGTCAAGTGGGCAACAGCTGGTACCAGTACTCTGAAGGGAAGGAATAAACTATATTTGAGAACATTATCTCCCATGAGCACAGCCCCATAACAATCATGTTAAAACAACCATGAGAAAAAACTCTTTAACTTGTTGTTTTAGTCAGTAGTCTACGTCATACAGTCAGTAGTTTACGTCACATAGTCAGTTGTCTACGTCATACAGTCAGTAGTCTACGTCATATAGTCAGTTATCTACGTCATCGCCAGTAGTCTTCGTCCTATAGTCAGTAGTCTACGTCATACAGCCAGCAGTCTACGTCATAGAGTCACTAGTCTACGTCATACAGCCAGCAGTCTACGTCATAGAGTCACTAGTCTACGTCATACAGCCAGCAGTCTACGTCATAGAGTCACTAGTCTACGTCATACAGCCAGCAGTCTACGTCATAGAGTCAGTTGTCTACGTCATAGAGTGACCCACCCGCGTCTACACCGCAGATTTATTTGACAAAATTTTTCAGAAAAACAAAAGAAAATATTACGCACCAAACGCACTTGAGATATTTTTTAAAATAGAAAATTAATTTGCGAAGTTGTCGGGAATTTTATTTCGTGAAATCAGTGTCATCATATTTCCTTCATCTTCCCATTGAAAACTGGAAAAACTGATTCAGAACAAACTGATCTTTGGGGGTTAGGGTTGGGGGGGGGGGCTGAAAGTTTGATAGAATGTTTTGCAACCCAACCAGCCAGAGGCGTAGCGTGGTGGGGGGCAGGGTGGACAGATGTCCCCGGGCGCAAGCTATTTAGGGGCGCCAAAATGTGCTTTGATAACAGTTTATTGATGAAAATAATGGGTTTGAGAGTTGAAAAAAAGAAAAAGGGGCGCTAAAAATGGATCTTGTCCGCGGGCGCGAATCTTGTCCCCGGGCGCCAAACACCCTCCCTACGCCACTGCAACCAGCTACGAAGAATAGCTACATTGATATCAATGATTGTAAAAGGGCATCTTTGGCAAAGTTGAACTATATTAATGTGACACATTTCAAACGTTACCATCAATATTTAGTTAAAGGATTTTGAGAAGTCCCCCCCCCCACATTAATTAATAACTTTGTCATAGGCGGTACCCCTGTTTTTTAAATGTAACAAAGGTGGGGGGGGGAGGGTTGCTGGGCGCTTGGCAATTTAAAAATGGAAATACAGTGTACCAACAATTACAGAACAGCGATAAATATTTATAGCAACATAGTCAGGTGGGCTGATGCGGGAACATTTCAGTTTGCCTCACTTCTTTAATATTCCACTTGTTGACCAAAAGTCTAGCAGGCCGCTCCAAGCCGGACTTGGTCTGAAAGTTCTCGGGCCGGCAGATCTGCTCCTTGTCGTCTTTGTTGCTTAGCAGCGGCCAGTTGATCCGGTCGCCGAGGCGAAATTTCATCACGGAGGAAGTGGCCTTGGTCATCTCCACGCACGCGTAGCGCGGTACGCAACCGTTACTGTAGAGCTGGAGCAGCACCTTCTTGTCCCTGTGCTCCTCGCTCTGCAGGTTCAGACACTCGTAGCTGCCCAGTATCCCGGCTTTGACAGAGTAGGACTCCACCTCAATGCTGATGTCAGCATCTTTGCCACTGTCGATCCAACTATGGGCGAGGAAAAAAAAGGAAATGAGCGAAACAAAGTACATGAAAACCGTGAAAAAAAAAGGAAGTAAAAAAAAAACACAACAACGAACGTGTCGGCAGAAAGCCTTCTTTGCGAACAAACAACTATAGAAACACTGATCTATTCATTATACCCAATATTAAATTAACACACAAAGATCTAGACACAAATAATCATACACACTTGACTATACGCACACCGATCTATAAACACATAGAGCTATGCATACACTGCATTGAAACACACACAAAGTTAAACACGCCACACACACTTTAATTGCAGTACTCACAAAACACCCCAACCAAAAACATTTTATTTTTTTTTAAATTTCACACACACAAATAACCTAGTAACACAGTAACCCCAGTAACCTCCAGTAACACAGTAACCCCAGTAACCTCCAGTAACACAGTAACCCCAGTAACCTCCAGTAACACAGTAACCCCAGTAACCTCCAGTAACACAGTAACCCCAGTAACCCCAGTAACCTCCAGTAACACAGTAACCCCAGTAACCTCCAGTAACACAGTAACCCCAGTAACCTCCAGTAATACAGTAACCTCCATTAATTCAAAAAACCTCAGTAACCCCCAGTAACTCCCAGTAACACAGTAACCTCCAGTAACACAGTAACCCCAGTAACCTCCAGTAACCTCCAGTAACCCCAGTAACCTCCAGTAACCTCCAGTAACTCACAGTAACCCAACAACCCAGCAACCCAGTAACCTCCAGTAACACAGTAACCCCAGTAACCTCCAGTAACCTCCAGTAACCTCCAGTATACCCACCAACCCCGTAACCACCAGTAACACAGTAACCCCAGTAACCTCCAGTAACCTCCAGTAACCTCCAGTAACCTCCAGTAACCCCAGTAACCTCCAGTAACCTCCAGTAACTCACAGTAACCCAACAACCCAGTAACCTCCAGTAACACAGTAACCCCTGTAACCTCCAGTAACCCCAGTAACCTCCAGTAACCTCCAGTAACCCCAGTAACCTCCAGTAACCCCAGTAACCTCAAGTAACCTCCAGTAACCTCCAGTAACGCCAGTAACGCCATTAACCTCAAGTAACCTCCAGTAACCCCAGTAACCTCCAGTAACTCCAATAACCCACAGTAACCCACCGTCCACGGAACTCCTCCTGAAAGGCGCACTGACCAATCTGGTTCTCCGTCCGGCACTGGTTACATTTCTGTGAGCAGTACTGCCTCGTCTCACCCTCGCAGATGTTGGTCCCCTCGCAGAAATCCAACTCGTCGAAGCACGTGCTCGAGACAAGGCGTTTCTCCAGCTTGAGTTGGATGTAGTTCTGGGAGGAGTCGGTGCCGAGGTTCGGCGACATGTCGCAGTTGACCTTCAGCCACAGGTGGGCTTCCCGGATGTTGTTCATCGGGTCAACGGTTCTCAAACAAAAATGTTTGTCCTCATCTTCCACCAACTTGAAATAATGAAATATGTTAATTTTTTATATATTTTTTTACCTTTACACAAAATTTCAAATGTCATTAAGTCAGCCGTAAGGTAATTAAGATGTCGTATGAATTGAAGTAGCCTTTTAAGTTTGTTTGGAAAACGTGATGATGTGAATAAACCTGGTATACTATGGATTTGTCTACGTGTATTTTATTTAACATTAGATGAAGATGATTATCAATAACTTATTATTCCTTTTTCTAAGTATGGGGGGGGGGGATCGGGGGGTCGGGCGAAGGGGTGCTGGGGGTGGGGGCAGCCACCATATGCTAGTCTGGCCTTTCAGACCTGTTGGCCTTGCCGCCATGCCGCTGTCTCATTATTTCACAGTTCTTCCCGGCTATGACCAGACACAAAGCGAGATATCACGAGCCACCCAAAACAGGTTTGGTCACCTGACGGGAAAAGATACCACACTCTGATCTTGGCCAAATTACCATTGGAAAACGGGCATGGCGTACGCCTTGTGCTTATTTGCCTTGTTATTTACTCTGGATATGTATCTGCAGAGCCAGCAGTTACCAAAGTAAACCCCATCTTTTTCCATATTAATTATATGCGCTATTATACGGATGAAGGTAATAAGGTAATATTACCTTATGTCAACTCAGTTCTCTGCAACGTTAGAAAGGTATGTCAACTCAGTGACCTGCACTATTTAAAGGTATCCCCCCGCCCCCCCCCCTTTTTTTTTGTTGTTGTTGTTAAATCAGTTACCTGAAGTATGATAAAGGTAAAATCCCCATATGTCCAGTGGGTAACACACTGTGTGTGAAAAAGAGGACTTTGGTTGTCCTTCACCTTAGATGAATCCAGTCTTGGGGTGCACTCGCTTTTCCTATGGAACACATGGGATACAAATAATTGCCTGGGACATCTTCGTTTACCGATAGCTCAAACGTCCGTCACAGCTAATTTCTTTATGAAATTCATGTCGTCTGTCTCAATTAACGTTTTTTTGTAAATAGCATGTATGTTCAATCAACTTCTTTATAAATATCATGTCCGTCTCGGTTAACTTCTTTATAAAGATAAAGTCTGTCTGAATAAACTTCTTTACAAACAGCATGTCTGTCTCAATTAAATTCTTTATAAATATCATGTCTGTCCCAATTAAATTCTTAAATGAATATTATTTTTGGGTCATAATCTTTAATGGTGTTTCAGTGCAATATAGTATTTAGCTTTTTATATTTTGCATACTTAATAGATTCGGTAGTGTCATATATATATATATATCATTATCTATTCATCTTCTTTTGAAGTTGCTCTTTCCGTAAAGCTGTAAAACATAAAATTCTATTGAAAATGGGATGGACTGTGATGGAGCTTTTATATTTGTGTATTTATATCTGAATAATTACTCAATTTGCAATAACAAAGTAATTTTCCCCCAACTAATAGAAAAGGGATACTACTCAAATAGCCATTATGAAACAATTTTATTGTTATTCTTTTTGCTGTGTTATTTCCCTTGCAATGGTTAAGCTTATTTCAATATAACGTCATTCGAGTTATTCCTTCCCCTTGGAAATCGTTATTATAAACAAGAGAGAAACGAATTTTTTAAATAATTACCATGCTTTGTGTTTTGAGAAATTTTAAACTTATTCGTATATTCTTTCACCAAATCACTTTAAAAAAAAAAAGAAACACATTTGCATAAGTGATTAATGTCAAAGTTCAAAGTTCACCTAAAGTTGAAAACGATGCCACTCCCTCTGTCGCATTCACTTTCAAATCTCATGGACAGAAGATCGTGACACACGAGGCTGCCATTGGCGTAGAAGGCGTTCATGTTGTAGCCACCTGGCGGACATGTGTAACAGAGGAACGATCATGAGAAAATAAGGAATCAGAGTGGCAGAGTGAAACATGAGACCATAATGTGAATGTCATTATATCAAATAAAGTGGTCCTTCTCAAAGTGGAGTTTGGCAGTCCGTTAATTGATACTTTATTAAGAAAAAAAATCGTTTAATGCAAAATTGCTGCAATATGGATAAATTCCGGTAGTCTTAACACTAAAAAAAAAATGCCTGAGAAGCATTGTAATAAGGCATTCAAATAAAACCACCCATATTCTGGCCAGCCCCCGTACCTGTGAATGGACAGGGTGTGGTTCCGTTCAGCTTGAAAGCGGTGTGGACAAACGGATATTGGTCAAACTCCATCTGGCTCTCGTCACAGAGATCTGGCGAGTTCTTATGGTGGATGGCAGACACCTGGGCCACAGGGAAGGGTGGAAGGTGAACAAGCAGTTATACAGGACCTCCCGCTGCCTGTCAATCTTTTTTTCTTCATTAACTAACCTGTTTGAATCATAACTTTAACTTTAACTTGAACCCCATAAACCCAAAACGGGTTAGAAGAGTTACCTACCTTGAGCTGAACGACGTACTCCCCCCTGGGCACAAACTGCATGCACAGGTATCCGTACGTCTTGCCGTAGTCTGCCGTGTGCCGCACCAAATACCTGTCTCTCACGGGCTGCAGGCACGTCCTGTCATGCTCCTCAAAGGACCCGCCCTCAAAAGGCACTCTCAACGTCAGCTTGTTGCTCTATCAGAGAGAGGGGGAGAGAGAGGGAAAGGGAGAGTTGAGAGATAGAGGTGAGAGGGAGACATGAACGATGGGAGATATCAGATGTTAGGGAGAGAGATCATATAAATCAGATATTTCAAAGAAAAAGAGAGAGAGAGAGAGAAAGAGAGAGAGAAAGAGAGAGAGAGAGGGTGTGTGTGGGGGGGGGGTGATGATGTAGTTTCACATAACCCATTATGGTTTCTTAAATTTAAAAAAAAATCCATAAATATGCACCGTCTCTACTCTGAGTACAAAATGTCAGGACCACTCACCCTTTCATAATATAGGGCAGCGGTTCTCAACCTTTCTAGTGCCGCGACCCCTTAATACAGTTTCTCGTGTCTTGGCGACCCCCCCCCCCCCCCCCACACCAAAAAAA